TTCACCGGTGCACCACTGACCAGCGTTTCATGGTACTCGATATCCGAGAAATAATGCAGCTCATTGCCGGTCTGCACAAATGCTGTGGCCATGAATGGCAGATCGACACCGCCAAAATCGATGGCCGTATCGGTGGTGATGGCTGTGGCCCAGCATTGACGTACATTACAACCGAACTGCAGCACCAACGCTATCAACAAACATCTCTGAATGATTACGCTACCGCCTCCGTCGCCCATCACACATGATAATCTGCAAAAAAAAAAAGTGATATCGAAATGAGCAAAATTTTTGAAAAATCGCTATAATGTAATCATAAAACACGAGATCCAGTTGTGGTACTGATCTGGAATGTATGCGACTTTTAATGGACCGAAACATTTCAATTCAGGGCTCCTTTTTCTGTTTCTTATTGCATTTATTATTTATCACTACAATTATTATCACTATCATTTATGTGCATTTGTTATTTATCATTATTATTTATCACTATCATTTATTATTTATTACTATAATTTACTTGATTAATTACCATATTCAGGCTAGTTATCATAAATTGTCATAGTACAATATCATAGAAAAAATTATCAGGGTTTAATGTTGGTACACATCAGTCACATATCAGTACAAATGGACTGGTATATAAGCAGAGGCGGTGGCATGAGGCGAATTTTCCATTTTTTCATCATCTCCGGATTCTTCAAATCTTGATCCATTAACCATCACATGACTGATTTTCATTCAATTCTTTGTAAAAAGCGATTCCTTTCGCAACAAGGCCAGCTCCTCTTCACGTTGTTCAAACTAATACATGCGAAAAATAAGCCGGTGACATTGATTTACCAATCAAATTTGACCGTTCGGAAAGTATAAAAGACATAAGGAATTAAAAGATGTGAAAAAAAACCATAGTGCAAATGCACCAGGAGTGCCACGCAAAAATTTCAGCTTTCTAGCTTTTACACTTCACGAGACAATAATTCCCCTACCAAAACCTTCACGAGGCCGTACGTGGTACCCAGGGATGCGTGAAGGCTGAAACCAAATTTGCGGGGGGTCGTATGTTGATAATACATACACACACACACACACACACACAAACACACACACCAGTGGCACAGTCCATATAAAATTAGCGAAGACGAAGTTATATATTTATTGAAATAATACAGGAGTAAGCAGTGTATGTTTCATCCCTTAGCTGTAAACTCAAAGTTCTAACAAAGAATATGCATCAATGATTTGATTTCTTCCTAACTCCTTATTTATCTATATTTATATCACTATACTTATATTACTATTTCTGCATGTATGTTTTTTTTTTTTACTTTTATTCAGTTTCGTTTAATTACAGCTATTTGCTAAACAGGAAACAGTAAGTGCTCTGTTTTCCTCTGGAAGCAGTGTTGGTCTTTTACTGTTTTAAAATTATCGATGATATACACAAAGCAGCTAGTTTTTGCGCCAAATAAAGATAACTATAGTACAATAATTTTTTTAATCGCCTGGCTGCTCTAATCCAGAAAAATCACGAGCCCTTAGTGTTTTTTCTAAAGTTACGAGATCAGCCTGAATTGCATAAGAGATCATAAATCAATACAATCAGTGAAGAATTACCTGAAGATCTTATATCCAAATTTGATCTTATATCCAGATCCAAGGTCAATTCTGGGTATAAGATCTTCAAGTAACCGCATGATTTTGAGTCCGAATTTAAGTTCTTATTTTTTCAGAATTCCGGCGATTACCCAAAATTCTGAATCTTCAAATCATCCAACAGGAAAAAATCCCGGAGACCTGGAGCTTTTCGGCGGATTCGAATTGAATTATGCGGGCAGACTTGCACAAAGAGATATGATATCCGTATAATAAACTTATAAATCATGCAAAAGCGATTTCAAAAGTCCAACCAAAGGGATTAATAGCAAAAGCAGCGGCAACAGAACATGATACAACACATTATACAGGTGTGTTCACACAACGGCACATGGTTTTGATAGAACAGTAAGCAGAAATTTGCATAGCTGCAGAATCAAAGGACCTGCTGGGACAGCTGCACCCGGGAATGTTGTTGGACTTTCCACAGTAACAACATTAACATGGGATACCTACACTGATTTTTCGAAATGTTCTAGTTCTTGGTATAAATACCGATTTTTTTTTTTCGACTTCTTTTATTCGGTTTTTCTGCATCTATGCAATGCAAAAACTCATATTGTCGAATGGAATTTTTTGAAATCTTGGTAACTTGGAGTACTATTATGAGTGGGCTCTTAGACGTAAAATGAACAATCGCAGGATTCTAGTTGGCATGTGAAAGACATTTTGTCGGGAAAACGATTTCGAGAACCAGAAAAGCTAGAAGGCTGAAATCGCTTGTTTGCGACCCAAAGAATTTAAATCCAGCTTTCTCACATCCTAGGTTTATAAACTTTATAAAATTCTATTTTTTTAATACAAAATTTGAAGAAAAACTAAGAAAAATATTTTTTAATTTGTTTTTTTCTTGGTTTCAAAAGTTAAAAATTTTCCTGAACTATTCCAGAATTCTTCGATGCTATCGTTACAGCTTGCCGTCAATGAGGGAACACAGGGAGTAATAGTCAATTAGGGAAACCCTAAACAGCCCCGTCGATTACTATGCCGATAAAAAGGGGGCCCGTTTTTCTGACATCGTTTTCGAGTGGTCTTGATATTTTTGGTATATACGATCGAATCCGGTTAAATTTTTTATTTTTTTAGGGTTTTTTTGATTTTTAGCCCGGTCTTGGAGATTTCTGGGTATCTAAAATCAGCTGTTTGTG